GGATGGTTTGGGTGGGAGATGATCCAGTTCCACCCCATCCCATGGGCTGTGCAGGGCCCAGGCACCCCCCAGGGCAGCACAGGGTGGTCCAGCCTCACTCCAAGAGCCAGCCCAGGATGTGGGGAGCAGGGCAGGAGCACTCACCTGCCCCAGGGCGCTGGTGAGGCCGAACAGGAGGATGTTGGAGATGATGCTGGGATAACGTTCCGTGAAACTCAGGAACTCCCAGAGCTCCCCAGTGAACAGGATCCCTGGAAGACACACCAGGATGGAAACCCCTGAACCTGGGGGCCCAAAATGGCATGTGGTGCAATTTCAGTCTGTGCTCAGAGCCCCGAGGGGAGCTACGGAAGGCAGGGAGTAAATTCCAAGGTGGAAAACAACAGGAGACAAAGCAATCACCTCCCTGGTTAATTAATGAAAGGAGCAATCGTTAACTACAGATCAAATTCCAACAACACAGCGACTAATTAGAAGGGCTGCAGCCTGATCATCAAATCACAGAATGGGTTGGGCTGGGAGAGACCTTAAACTCATCCAGTTCCACCCCGTGCCACAGGCAGGGACACCTTCCACTGGCAGGGACATCTTCCACTATCCCAGGTCATCCCAAGCCCTTTCCAGCCTGGCTGGGGCTCTGGTGGGCACTGGAAGTCTCTGGTGGGCACTGGCAGAGCTGCACAGAGCAACCCCCCCTTTCACACACAGACCAACAAAAACCCCAACCCAAAGCACAAGGGGTTTTTCCCCAAAAAGGCCTGTTTTTGGAGCTCAGGGTGAGGGTCAGCCTGGGCTGGGGCTGTGCCCTGGGCTCTGGGCAGGGGGTCCTTACCCGCCCCCAGGAACAGGGTGGACCAGAGGTTGACGTTGAGCATCATGTGGTTGGAGCCAGTCTGGTAGTGAGCCCTCATGTGGTCCTGGGACACCCCCGTGAGCCCGTCCAGGGTCAGCGACAGCAGCTGGGCAGGGAGACAAAACCTGCCCTGGTTGGTCCTTCCCACAGGGAAAACCTCATGGTCCCCCTTTTCCACGGCAGCTCCCGAGCAGGAACTGATGGAAAAGGAGTTTGGTGCCTCAACACCTGAGCTGGGGGGACAGGCACGGACCCCCAGCACAGCTCAGAGCCCCCTCACACCCCCCTGCCCTCCTGAGGCACAGGGACCTGGGAATCACACCTGAGTTCTGGGATTTGGGACAGGGGAGCTGGGAAACCCACCTGAATTCTGGGATTTGGGACAGGGGAGCTGGGAAACCCACCTGAATGCTGGGATTTGGGACAGGGGAGCTGGGAATCACACCTGAATGCTGGGATTTGGGACAGGGGAGCTGGGAATCACACCTGAGTTCTGTATTTACACCCAGGTCCAGGTGAGCTGCACACCTGAGGCCTGGGTTTGGCTCCCTGGGGCACAGGTGAGCTGTCACCCCCCCAGGTCCCTCCCTGCCCCCAGCACTCACCAGCAGCAGTTCCCCGTAGCCAAAGACGTGGTCGTCGCCCCCGGCCCCCTTTTTGGGCTTGTACAGGAACAGGGCCACGCCCGCCACGATGAGCAGCACGCACAGGTACTTGGCTGGGGGGTACTTCTTCCTCAGCAGGGTCACCCCTAAGAGCATCACTGCACACAAGGGACGTCACAACCCGCTCCTAAAACCCCTCACGGCGTTAAACCCCCGGGAAAGCCACTCCTGGAAGAGTCACTGCACAGAAGGGACGTCAAAAACTGCTCCTGAAACCCCTCATGGGGGTTAAATCCCCCAAAAAGCCCCTCCTAAAGCCGTAACTGCAGAGAAGGGACGTCCCAAACTGGTCCCAAAGCCCCTCCTGGGAGTTAAACCCGGCCCAGCAGAGCAGCACAGGGACAGAGGGGGGAGAAATCCCCTCAAACACACAGGAAACAGGGAATGTGCTCACCTGGAATGGGCTTACAGGACTTGCCCAGGACCTGGAAAGGAAAGACAAGGACTGACTATCCCATCCCATCACCTGGGATGGGAGAGAGCCTGGATATGGGATGAGCACCGGGACACCCGGACACAGGACACACCAGGGACTTCCAAAATAGCAACCCCAACTCAGGGTGACTAATTACCAGGGCGACTGATAACTAACAGTGAAGGTTCCTCAACCACCCCAAGCCTTCCAACAGCAAATTCCCAACATTTCTAGGGATTGCTCTTCCCTTTCTGGATCACCTGAGCTCTCCCAAGCCCTCCCTAACACGGAAGTGGCCACACAAAAAGGGGAATCAAACCCCTGGTGTCCCTTCCCAGCCCGTGCTGTGTGATCCATACAGAGAGCAGGAAATACTGAGTGGGCCATAAATAGATCAGTAAATACTGTGTGATCCAAAACAGATCAATAAATAGTGTGTGATCCATATAACCCATACACAGATCCATAAATACTGTGTGATCCAAAACCACATCAATAGTGTGTGATCCATATAACACAGTGATCTGAGGGGTCCCAACGGTGTGGGGTGATTTATGGGGTCTCACCCGTGTGGGGTGGGGATTTGAGGGGTCTCACCCGTGTGGGGTGGGGATTTGAGGGGTCTCACCCGTGTGGGGTGGGGATTTGAGGGGTCTCACCTGTGTGGGGTAGCTGACGAACTGCAGGGCCGAGTTGCTGGACACCATGGCCCCCAGGTAGGACAGGGAACAGGCGCCGTAGAGCCACCCCCGCGTGCGATCCACCCGCGCCCCATCCACGAGCCGGATCACTGGGAACACACGGACACCTCAGCGGGATGGGGCACCCCCGGGTCCCCCGGGCCGGGCAGGGACACGGGAGAGCCCCCCCTGCACCCCGGGAAGGGCCGGGAAGGGCCGGGGCACTCACGGAGCTTGGCGAAGGCGGCGTTGATGACGCACTGGATGAACACGAGGGTCAGCGCGAACCTGAACTTCTCCTGCTGAGCCCCCTCCCCGTAACGGCCCCGAGTGCTGGGGGGGACGGACAGTGAGACACACGGACAGACA